CTTAACAGCTACCGGTACGCTGTTTCCGTGTGTACAGAGGCTGCAAAGATGTTCCAAAATTCAGGAAACGCGTCCATATCACCGGAAAAGTATGGTATCTCGAATGAGGGTAGGCTGTACGGCTGTCCTGAGGTGGAACGAGATGACATATTCCTCGACGCGTAAAGGGTTGGATTTGGATTGGCGGTAGTAAAGTTCCAAAGGGGTACATGCTCGTCCGAGCATTGGGGTCCAAGGAGGGGTGTGGGGTAATGTCAAATCCAGTAGGGGATTGCTGCAAACAACGGTTTCCCTGGTTAGGGATTCCCGCGTCGCTCGCAATGGGGGGTATGATTAGCTGGTGCGACCGAAGAAGGATCAAATGGACGATCCTGGCGAGGTGAATCTTGCGCGAGCTGATGGGTCTCGTGGGAGAGGGCATCAGATGAAGAAGGCAACAAATTGAACATGGGAACAGAGTGGGTGGGAGCGGTCGATGAAACACAACGCTCGTAAAGCATATCCGCACTCGGAAGGAATTTAATCTTATTGTCCAAACGTTCAAGCAGAATGTCCGCCTTCACCAAGAGCTTCGACAATTCACGGGCGTTCCAATGCGTTTGGATCTCCAAGAGGAGGGGAAAATCTCATTGCTTGTCCGGCCTCTGACGAGCAAATTCATCAGCCTTATTTCGCTGACTACGTAAAAAGGAAGCAGCACAATTAAAGGAAGAAATAAAGTTAGAAAGCAAATGTTTACGACTGATGACAAACTCGTAATCCTTGCCTGCGTTAGCGGTAAGGGTAGCATCGCTTTCCAGGTTGGTCTGCTCTACTTCCGCGATCTTCTTGCTTAAGGCCCAAGGCATACCTCGCGCGATTCCGATCGCTGCGCGATTTGGCACAACAGCAACTCCTCGTAATTCGTCGTCGTTGCGCTGTCTTTGGTCAGAACTTGCTCCATTTGCAACAACTTATACAAGCTACTCAAATGTGCATCCGAGAAGCGCGCACGATAATTGTAAAAATCTGGCAAATCGCCAAGTCGCGTGAAAGTGGCGATTCGGTCAGATTGCGTGAGGTATGTCTTAAGCCTAAGATGTTGGCTTTTAGTTAGTTGAGCCTTGTGGGATCCAAAGAGTGACATATCTGGAATAAAGAAACAGGAGCGGCGATAAAATATCTACAACAAAATACACGAGCGTAAAATACAACAAGAAACTAGCCTAGAACCCTTAAGAGGGGAATGAACCAACTAAATAGCACGCTAGGGGTATATAGTAGGCGCAAAGGCAAGGAGCAAAATGGGGTTGTCAAATAAGGGCAGAATCGCACGCCGTAGCAATGCGCGAATAACGTAAAGGTAAAGCGAGCAGCTGCGTCCAAAGAAGACTACCTGAAAGAACGATATGGCGAGCGCTGCAACAGTTACCTCCCGATTGCCTCCCTTGGCTATGCTCCAGCAGCAAGGTCCGCCACAAGACTCCATAGAGCACTCGCAAATAGGTTTTTAAAAGTCTACTGCCATACCAATCTTTGCGCAGGACAACACGCTGCTAGCAGGAGCTTATAGCTGGAAAGTTGCTGCCACCAACTCCGACTAAGTCACCCAACGCGCTGGCTACGCTTAAGGCTGCAAAACCAACGGGTTACCTGACACCTTTATGACGCGATATTATCGCACGCCCTATCCCACTGCTCGAACTAGGTGCGGAGCGTGGTAGCTACGGGATCGTTACGCACGCACGAAGGATGGGATAGCTTAGAAACAGCGCTACTACTGCGCGGAGTACCTGTCTAAGATGTTACCTACCCACCGCGACTTAGCAGCGCGACTACCCGACGCTACACGCGGGAAACCGCATCCACCATGTGCTGGCGACGATGCACCATGTGGCGGCTCGGTGGGCTCTAATCAATCACCTAGATCTAACCCGAGTAGCCAAGGCTTGCCCGTTTAATACATACGACACAACCTACCCTGCTAACTCGCCCTAGGGCGCCCAGACAAAGAATTAAGTACTGAGGTTTTATCCTTGTGACATCAAAGAGACAATTAGAAAGCTACAAAAACCTACAACTAGACGACAAGGAAAATTACTAAATTAAGCTAAACTACTAAACAATGACAGAGCTCAAACACGGGACGAGCTGCCCCATCCCGTGCTACCGATGAAGCGCGTCTACTAATCTAACCATGATGATGCTCCCGAGGCTTCACCTAAACAGATCCGCCGCGCGTCGCCAGATACCAGGCGCGACAGCCTCCCCGCTCTCAAAGTATAAGATTTTATTATCCTAGGGCTCAAAGGTATCAACGATGGCGCGTCCGAACTCAATCCCGAAACCTTGATTCAGTCCACGATGGTTTTCGATATGCTCAACCGCACTGCAAGATTAACATCAAAAGCGGGAGCTAAATGCCAGGCACGAGCATAATGAACAAAGATGAGAAAGGATAATTGATCGAAAAGGAAGCAGACAGACGCTGCAATGAGGCGCCGCCGCTATATATATAGCCGTTTTGCTGGCAACGCGCCAAGGCAAGGAGAGGTCCGGAGGCGATTGTGGCACGCGTGGGAAAGTACCGTAATCGTCGCCGGATATAGCGCGGCAGCAACCAGTGCTCCCGGCCTCCTACTTCTAGGAGCGCTCGTATCGCGAGCCGCGACAGGAGGTCTCATGCGGACATTTGCGACGGACCGCGCGCTTTCAACATCACTGCCCCATGCTAGCTGTCCGCGTGGTTGCAGCCTATCGGCGACCTTATGTCCTCTACTCCTTCCAACAAAGTCCTGGAACTGTGCCGGGACTGTGCTGCATGCGCTGCAGCCGCCTGTATGCGAATTGAGCCGTGGGAGATTGAGATTTTTGACTGTTTTCAACAGTTTTTCTCTCAAATTTTGCTCCTTTCGGTCTCATTCTTCTACTCCCCCCCCCCTTAGATGAGGAAAGCCCCGATCCTAAAGCAAGAATGGAGAATGAATTGCCGTCTGCCATGTATCCGAAAATGTGTCCCTGTCTATTTTCTCTTGCTCATTTTCGCTCAGACCTACTTCATGTGTTCCATTTCTAAGCTTCTGCATAGTTTCCACGCATCTATCTTGAGCGTCACTTTTAGGTATTCTCAGCCACTTTTCTTTTTCGCTTGTTCGTTATCTCTTCTACTTCGCTTCTCTTTATATTAAAAAGCTGCGAACTGGGATCGGGGTTGAAAAATGAACGCTGTTCTGCTCCATGTATCCGAAAAGATGAGTCTTCATGCACTCGTCCATTCTCTCTTCGTTATTTTTGTTCCGACCGATTGTTACCCGCTTAGCTCAAAGCTGAAAATGTCCGTGCCGCCCCGGGACCCATAGTGCGAGCAATCTCTCGCCTACATAATGGCTACTATTGGAATCTCCTCGCGCCATCACTGAGCGCTGCTATATTTTCGCATTCCTTTCTGTGGAACTGTTCAGCTCTACTGGACCCTCCTTTAGGCACGGTTAAAAGGATGGAAAGGATGCAAATACTCTGCCGTAGCGCTTGGAAAGATACAGTGTTATAGTAAGGCTACAAACCGAACCGACAGTATATATATTAAGATAAAAACCGAACCGAGAGAGTATGCGATCAGCGCACTGAGCAATGCGATTCGTGTAGATTAACATCCTACCGTATACCTATCCTACAGTGGCGTATCCAGAATTTCCGTTCGGGGGGGGGGGGATTTTTTTTTTGATGAAGGCGGTGTGGCATTAGCTACGTGCTTCGGGATAATTTTTGGTATACTTTCCGAAACCTCGAAAAAAATGAAAAAGCCCATAGCTCTCAGCCACGCCCCCAAAAAAATTTATATGAGGCCAAATTAATTTTTTTATAAAGTTCAAGAATTATTTTAACTGCTTGCAATAATGAATTATTCAAAAATTATGCGACCCATTCTCGAAGGGGGTGCCCGTTCCTCCCCCCTCCCTTCCGCCCCGTCGGTACGCCGCTGCTATCTTACCCCCACTTCCGTATATCAGATAGCGACGAGATGAGAATGGTGTCCTTGGAATCAAAATCCGTCCAGAGTGAAGCCAGACATAGCCACGCCACGGTGTTGTCGCGCGACTTACGCGAACGTCCCCCCAGTCACGCGATCGACTTCTGCGTCTACTTCAAAACGCGATTTCTATTCACAAATTATGGGCGGTAATGTAGTAAAAAAAATTTCTATATTCTACAGAGTGTTCAAAATTTGTGTTTATCTTCCGCTGTCGAATCCCTCTTTCCGCGAAGCTTTTTGTTTTCTTTCGGGCACAATATTGCAGAGTTGGCTTCAACTCAGGTTTACAGTTTAAAGCCAATCACTGCCCTTCATTCCTATTGGATTACAATAGAAACCTTGAAGAGGGTTTTGAGTTATTGGGAGCCATATGTTCAAAACTTACACTAAATTAGTCTGAAAATAAGATTTGCACATTCTCATAGAAGTTAGTTTTAAAGTTATGCCAAGTTTAACATGATAACTGTTTTTTCAATGTGCCTTGAACTTGTGATTATATCTTTCAAAAAGCTTGAGTGGCTTGTGAAATGTTAAGCAGTAAAGTCAGCGCGTTTAAAACTCTGGTGTACTTGGATCTTCAAAACTAAGGTTGAAATGCAGCAAAACTACGATGGCGCAAACAGTGGAAGTTTCTACTGTAATCTTACAAAATGAAGCGCGATCGGCAATTCGCTCAAAAATATAAATTAAAATTATAGCGAGCTGTACAAATTGGGACGAGAAGGTAGGCAAAAGACTTCTTGGAAAGGGAGATATCAACTATCAAACATTGTATGCATACTTTTGGAATATTTTGTATAGAACAATGATTCGTCGAGTCGACATTGAATTGACTTTTCTCTGTTTTTCGCTGCTGAAACAAACTCATGGCAGTGACTGCAGTGCGCTAGTAGGATTTATTAAGCAAGGTAAAATTTCGTAATCTGAACCAAACCGGCAACCGATGTATGAATTTATAAACGATATGGACACTGTTGTCTTTTGTAGCCTAGCGTGGAGTGTAATGGGAGTGGAATCCAAATGGAATTCTTGATTGTTGAATAAGGAAACGGCCCATTTCTTCTAACGTTTCGGCGTCGATCATAGCCACGTAAGGGGTATCCTTTTCCATCGTAGTCATTACAGGAACAAGCAGTATGCCTTAAGAATAAGAGTGATTAACGGCATGTAAAATACCCAGTGACAAACCATCATCTTCTTTCTCATAGTTCGGCTTGTTGACTAGAATTGGTTCAGCACATATTTGGGAATCATTGTCCATGGACCACACTTTGCTTGTTCCATCCTTCAGATCTACTTTGATTATCTGAATCATAGACCGACGAGTAAAACTCATTGAAAAAAATTCTAAGAATCTTACCGTTCCTTCGAGAATTTATTTGTAAAACGCTATGAAATCTAAGGAACGTTAGCAGCACCAGTACTATCGATATCCAAAAACGGTTTTTCTCAACAAAAAAAAACAAGTTTAATGAATAGGAAAGCTTTACTTAGAAAAAAACATTGTGGATGGTGATTTATTCTAATTTTTTCTATCATGGACCTACAAGGCTTGTTCTTTTGGTACTGACACTTACTTTCTATGTGGATGCTTCCATAGTTGATTGTGCCAGCGCCGAGCTAACACCGTGCCACATGGACGTTCTACGCGTCAATCGATCGACGATGCTGGCACGGCGCTGGCACGGCACATAGGTAACAACACAGCAGCATTGTTCAAAATGAAAAGGGGCAGGGGTGCATTCTACGTACACATGCTCTTTTCTACTACTCTTCCCTTTTTTCTCCTTCTCCCTTACACCCTTTTTATGAACAAAAAAGTAGGGCATACTCCATCCGTCGAATCGCCACTGAATACGTTGGCGCCATAAACGTAACGATAATCTTTCATGTTGAGATCGTAGTTATAGCGCGGGAAGTCGAACGCTGAAAAGGTAGACAGCAAAATAAAGCCAACACTTACGCTATGAAGAGAACATATATTACTACAGTGTTTTCCTTCAAACTGTCAAGAATCCAATATTGTAACTGTAAGCTGCGCCAGATACTCTGTTGTGACTGTAATAGTGAAGGCTGCTAAGTAGAAATGAGTTGATAGAATAATCTCATGTTTTCCATTATGATCTGTTTATGTAAATAAGTAAGCTATAAATAGCAGCCTAGTTCGTAGAGACGTTCAGTTTTACTGCTTGTCACTGGAAGGCAGATAAAGAGTCTCCGCTGAAGCTGTTCACGAACACAACAAACTGGCGATCAGGATGAGCAGCGGAGACTCGAGAAGAAAGAAGACGAAGACTTCTTCAACGGATGGCAGAACAACGGACGGCAGAGCGATGGACGGCGGAATGACGGACGATAGACTGATGGAGGGCAGCAGTTCGATGGACGACAAGCCTATGGAGGGCAGACAGCATGTTTCTCCATTGGAGAGCGTGCTACAAGTCATGCAGGAGCAGATGCGCCTGCACCAAGAACAGATGAAAGCCATTCTTGAGGCCATCGCTCGTGGCCAGGGCGCCGGTACTGGGCAGAGCAGTACCGCAGCAGATGCGCCGAATCTTATGTGCGCTTTGAGCAATAGGATCGAGAAATTTACGTTCGATCCTGAAGCCAACCTTAGCTTCAGCCAGTGGTACGCACGCTACAAGGACGTGTTCATCGAAGATGCCAAGCCGCTAACGGAAAGTGCTAGAGTGCGACTTCTCTGTGAAAAGTTGGACAGAGAAGACTTTGAAAAGTATCAGAGACACATACTACCAAGACAAGTAAACGCTATAGGATTCGAAGAGACAGTTTCAATCCTGAAGCAGCTTTTCGACATGAAGACTTCGCCGTTTACACTAAGGTATCAATGTCTAAAGCTGGAGAAGAAAGAGTTTGAAGATTATCTTCTGTATACTGGAAGAGTTAACGAACTCTGTGAAAAAGCGAAGATCCATGAACTGGATAGCGACGGAATCAAGTGCCTACTATGGATTTTCGGATTGAAGAGTCCAAAGGAAGCTGAAATAAGGCAAAGACTTATTGCAGTGCTGGACAAAGAGTACAAAGCCGAACGCAAGATGACCCTGCAAGAACTCTACTCAGAATGCGAAAATTTTCTTAGCTTGAAGAAGGATAGCGAGACCATAGCTGGAAATAACACGAGAGTGGTAGAAGCAGTCAAAGAAGAACACAGGATGTTGGAATGCTGGAACTGTTCTGGGCAGCACTTGTTCAAGGATTGCAAAGCAAAGCCGTGGTTCTGTAAGAAGTGCAAGACAACAGGGCATAAAGAAAAGTTCTGCGAACTCATCAACAAAAGGAAACCAGCTGATCAACCAAGTACCAATGCAAGAGATGTTGGAAGCAGTGGCAACGTCAGAATGAAGCGAAGAAAGAAGCAAACGAGACTTGCAACCCATCCACATGTGCGGAATATAGTGAAGATCGCAAACGCCACAATGGATGTCAACTCTTCACGAGTATATCTGGAAACGAAAGTAAATGGTCAGTCAGTAAAGTTTTTGCTTGATACAGGATCGGATATCACGCTGTTGAACGAGATAGTCTGGAAGAAAATGGGTGCTCCAAACCTTGAAAAGACGAATGTTTCTGTCAAGGACGCCAGTGGAAACTCTATGAAGATATATGGCAAACTGTGGTGCAACTTCGAGCTGAAAGGATCCAAGAGTGAAGGCTACGCGTATGTTACTCCTCACAATTCTTTGTTAGGTATCGACTGGATACGGAAGAATGAAGAGATGACCTATCACTTGGAAAGGATGATCGCAAATGTGAAGGCCGACCAGAATGATATTATGGCACAGAAGTTGAAAAATGCTTATTCAGAAGTATGCAAAGATGGTCTAGGATTATGCACCAAGGAGAAAGCAGACATGCAGGTTGGTGGAAGATTCCATCCAGTGTTCAAGACTTGCAGATCTGTCCCCCATTCTGCTTTTGAAACTGTCGAGAAGGAACTGGACAGACTCCTGGAAATTGTTGAGATGTACAATATCGCTGCGACAAGGACTGTGAAGGTTTTGAAAATGTTTGCTAGATATGAACCACTGCATACTATCGTGACTGACAATGGAACTCAGACGTCAGAACTGTTCAAGAGCATGTCTGAAGAAGAAGGAACTTTGCACAAAAAGACTGCTCCTTATCATCCCCAGTCAAATGGACAAGAAGAACGCTTCACTGATGTCCTGAAACGTGGAATCAAGAAGCCTGAGGGGGAGGAGAGGCCGACAGGAGATGAAGGCCTACGAAGAAATAAAAGCATAGTAAAGAATATGAACCAAGAGATTCCGCCACACTTCCCACAAGAATTAAAATCACCTCCGTTAAGAACTAGACATCAACTATCTATGCAGCCTATGGTCACAGAGAATGTCACAATCAAAAGATTCTGCGATACAGCTCATGTGATCTGATTGTTGATGTATATTGTACTTACCAATGTAGTAGGCTAGTTTGAGTTGTAACTACCCTACTGGGGGAGGTGTTGTGACTGTAATAGTGAAGGCTGCTAAGTAGAAATGAGTTGATAGAATAATCTCATGTTTTCCATTATGATCTGTTTATGTAAATAAGTAAGCTATAAATAGCAGCCTAGTTCGTAGAGACGTTCAGTTTTACTGCTTGTCACTGGAAGGCAGATAAAGAGTCTCCGCTGAAGCTGTTCACGAACACAACATACTCTACTTTGTGAGCCTCAGAGTAGAGGATAATATGACGGCGAAACGGGTTCGCGCGGACATCTACTATAAAATGCGCACTCCTATGAACTGTACCTTGTGACAGTAGTCCGCCCGGAAAATCCTATCGGCGGCAAATGTTCCCTACCCAAATTTCTACTTTTCTCACTCCTAAAACTTACAGTATTCGCTCATTTTAACGTCCGTGCAATGTATGCTACCGTCCATC